CACACACACACACACACACACACACACACACACACACACACACACACAAATTTTGCAGCCAGCACATGAAAGTGTACTTTGGAAAATGCTTTGAATTTCTTTACATCACCATCAGGGAGCATGGGGGAAAGGGAGGAAAGCCAATGGCTGTGGCTCCTAAAAGCTCACTTACACTGCTTAATGAGCAATTTGTTGGACTGAACTGCTACAGAACTTGGCAGATAAACACGGTATCTTTCCAGGTCAACAAATGTATAAGATGTTGCATGAGTAAAACATTACTGCATCCTCATTTTTCAGTATTATCAAAAACAATAACATGGATCCTATATTTAATTATTGCTTTGCTTCATTTATAAGGAAGCTGTTGATGGGGGAAGTGCTTCTGTGTATATGTTTGTCTTATTGGTTGATAAATAAAGCACTGTTGGCTAATAGGGAAGTAAGATAGGTGGAGCTAGGAGTCAAGGAGGATTTGGGGAAATGTAGTAAAGGTGCTGCCATGTGATCCCAGCAAGAGAGAACTCGTGCCGCCAGCGACCTTGATAAGATAAGTCATTATAAAATATATAGATCACTAGTTATGGTTGATAATTAAGACTGAGCTAGCATATAAGAAATCCTAGTCACTGGCCAGCAGCATTGTAACTAATATTAAACTTTGTTTGTTATTTGGGGCCCTAATGTGGTGGCAGAACTCAGGTGGCTGGCTATGGTAGTAGACCAAACAACAGTACTGTATAAATCCAGGCAAAACTTGCAAACACTTCCCAGCCTTTTGGCTAGCATCAAGTACAAAGCTCTTTGTAAAAGAAATGACTTGGCTTGCCAAATAATACTCACGGTGAAATTGTGCAGCCTGAGGCATAGGCATGGTGTCCTGTGTAGCGAATGTCACAGCGTACAACATTGTTACTGTAGTCTGATTCAGGCACCAGGTAGCTGGGGTTTACACTGACCTGGACAACAAAAATAGCATGGTGAAAGATTTCCTATTCACTGTATACTGTTATTCCCTCCTATTTCTATAGAGATGATATAGTGAAATTGCTAAAAAAAAAAGGGGGGGGCTCAGCTAAATCAAGCAAGAAAAGAAATTTAAGTAAAGCAGGTTGTTAAACACTGGATATATTACAAAGATAGTTGTGTAAATTTCTCTTGAGTTCTTTTTAAAAACATCATCCTCTGGGTTGCTTAAAAATTGTCTGAAAAGGTGTTCAATTACTTTAAAGACCATGATTATTTAATATTTGAAACCAGAAAAAGGCAATTTATTGAATCCTCAGGGTTAATTGCATGTATTCAAAGCCACTACCTTTAGAATGTAGTTTCCAGGTTGTACATCTGTAATATCAATCCACTGGCAATCTATGTCTGCTGCATAGGTATCATAACATCCAGGACTCAATCCCTGAAATCAGCAAAATTGTAAAAAATTTAGTGTAGGTCTAAACTGTTCTAAAACAAACAAACAAACATGATATTGTTGGTAAATGAAAACTTAAGTTGATAGCTAGAAGAATTTGATATGAAAAGCATACTTCTGTTTCATCTCCATTGAAAACATGTTACCCAGTACTATCTAGCACTTAATAGGGACTGCAGCATGAAGTAGTATGCCTTACTTCTGAAGTCACCAGCGGAAAATAGTCTTAAGCAACAAAATAGACCTCTGCCACAACTCAAGATTATCACATCAGGAATTAAGGTCTCTTAGTAACTTAGTTCCAATATCCTATCAGTGAACCTCCCTGCAATAACCTTCTTATGTTCTGATGTCCATGGTCTTTTGTAGTGTTTACCTTTATAGCATTCATCCATTTCTGCTCTATCTTGTAACCATATTACTGAAACTCCTCAAAGACAGAGTCTGTTTGCATCCTTGAGTAGCTAACATTTATTATTATTATGTGCCAGAACCATTTTAAAAATATTGTATAAAGCCAGGTGTTGGTGGCACGTGCCTTTAATCCCAGCACCTGAGAGGCAGAGACAGGTGGATCTCTGTGAGTTCAAGGCCAGCCTAGAGCGAGTTCCAGTACAGCCTCCGAAGCTACAGAGAAACCCTGTCTCGAAAAAAACAAAACAAAACAAAAACAATTGTATAAAGCCAGTTCTCACAATTACATGAGACAGGTCTATTACTATCTCCATTTTTTAGATGAGGAAGATGGGACACACTAAGGTTAATAATGTATTCCAGGGCAAACAGCTAGGGAATGACTGAGTTGGTTTCATATAAACAGGAATAAATGCCAAGAACAAATGCTCCTTGCTCTCATGAGGCTGAAGAAATTTTCTCCTACTGGGGGAGATAGGTATCTTCTTATTTTCTTATTACCTCATGAGAACTTTAACTGTTGTATTTTCTTTCCGATAATCCAAAATTGATTAAAAGGTATATGTTACAATCTAACTCAGAAGTGTTATTTAAAATCATCACTCAAGTTTGCTTTGGTGCTTAAGGTCATTTTGGTCAACCAAGATAACAAAAGCTTGTAAATGTGCTTTAGAGATATGGGTTTGGCTACAGCTGGATTTGAGAAGAGTGAGCAATTTTGCTGTCCATAGCATAGGACAACATAGACAAGCTAACTCGAAAATTGCTCTTGTCACAGGATGAGAACCATACTTGCCTGGGTGCCCACCTTGATCCATTCCCATTTTATGTATTAGAAAGGAAATACAAAAGGAAGAACTTTTGGTCTGGTTCTACAACATCATTCTCTGACTCTGGCACCTTACACAATAAGCAACTATTAACTGCTGCCACTATCATTACTACTATTTCATGTATGACCCTCTAAATTGTGAACTGGAATAGATCACCATTGAAGACAGGTAGAAGTAATACTACTGTCAAGTGAATAAAAGTGTTTTGGAAATGCTTAAGTTTGCCATGTTGGCATACACCTATAAACCCAATTGCTCAGAATGTTGAGCAGAAGGACAACTTAATCCCATGAAGTTGACACCAGCCTAGGCCACACAATCTTAAAAGTACAGTGTGTGTGTGTGTGTGTGTGTGTGTGTGTGTGTGTGTGTGTGTGTGTGTATAAGTGCAAATTGCTGACACTGGTATCTTAGGATTCACCAGCTCACAGAATATGTTAATTTTGGACTTCATTTATTTGAACTTGCAAATAAATACCTGAAGTTACCCAGGGCATTAAGCAAGTAGACATTTCAGATATTCAAAGTCAAATGTAAAACTAATTGAAAATATAACTTCATTCTGGACTACCAAAATACATTATTTGGCTTCAATAAAACATAGCTGTTTTCTACATTTGGTCAATGAGTGTGATGTGACTATTTTTAATTGTGCATAAATTTAGTGTGTAAATTTATGATCTTAGAACATGTTATTTTTATATATATCTGCATAAGTTATACCTAGTTATATTCATAAATATTTAAGGAACAGATACCAATATAATAAAACCAAAAACAGTCACTATCAGAGGTCTGTGTGAATGGTTTTTTTTCTTTAAGTGAATTCTGTTCAAGAGACTATTAAGAAAAACAAAAAAACAGAAATTACTTACAATGCAAAACCTGGTGAGAATTGTTAAGACGTGTACCGAGAAGAATGAAGATAAAACGAGTGAAATTATGGCAGAGAATAGAGGAACCCCTAGGGCTGAAATATGCACAGTCCCCCACCCAAGCATTCCATCTTAGATTAAGATGATCAATGTGTGGCATTTTCTGAATAGGGAAAATAAACACCCCAGGTTCTCTTGGGGCGATCACAGAATGAGAAGGCAATCCCTGTATGGGTTTAACATACAAGTTTAACATGTGAGTGGGTTCCAGCTTTCACTTAAAGCACTTGTCCTGCCCCCCCTAACCCATGTTAAATATAACTGTCTCCCTTTCTAACCACTTGGATGAGCTCAGCCCAGAGGAAAGAAGTATGGTCCACACATGTAGGTCACTAAAAAGCTTCCGGCCACAACCCTGGAATCTGCTCCCCCAGATGATGACTGCTGATTTCTTTGTGTGCTGGATAATGTACATTCATGGACTACTTGCCAAGAGCTGGGCTGGAGGAAAATTATAATGTCCTTTTACAAATTAGGGTTTTGGATGGAAATACTGACATGGCTTTTAACTGACACACATTTTCCAATTCTTAGACATGCAATAGTGCTTAGCTCAGCACTATTAAAAACAAATCCATCCAAAGGACATCTGACTTTAATTACATTGTAGGTTTAAATATACTTGTGTGGAGAAAGAAGTGTGTCTTTCTGCTCTTATTTACATTATTAAAACTGATATTGCTTAAAGTATCTTGAAGACCCTGTTCAAACTTTAGGCACTCTTTCCATATTAATCATGAAGGTGGAAAACAAAATGGTTTTTCAGGTGAGAAAACATTTGTACATTGCTAACAGCTATTTATAACCAATTAAAGAACCCAGAATGCAGGCAGATGTTTTAAGTCATTTATATGTATTCAGAAAGTAAACTACTCATTGTGCTATGTATCGAGGATCCACACTGACCTTCTGTGATCACCAACAGGGGCTGGATGTACAGCTGGAAACACTTAAAAAGCAATTTGCACCACCCAGTCATTTGCCTTGTCCCAATTACTTTCCATGTTGATAAGATAAACTCAAAATGAAACAAAGGCTTTGAAAAAAGAAGGGTGGGGGAAAAGAAAACAGCAGATGACTTTGTTTTCATCTCCTCTGGAAATGTGTGGGTTCCTGATGTCTGGGTGCCAGCCTACCTGTGTGTGCGCAGTACATGCAAAGCGCCTGTGGTACCCATAGTCACAGGATGTGGGGTCTCTTTTTGTGGCCTTCAGCCACTCTTCTCTGTGTGCTGGCATCAAGCAGGTCGTAGTGGCTGAATTCATCCATGCTGTGGTAATGTCTAATGTTCCACACAATAAAGACACACCAGTCAGTGGCATGTATCGAAAACAATGAGGACATTAAGCAACCTCCTTGTCTCATAAATTAAATGGTGTTATGCTCACAAATTAAAACAGGGCAAGTTTATCTTCTTGGATTTTTTTTTAGATTTATTTATTTTATGTGTGTGAATGTTTTGCCTGCAAGTTATATGTGCACTTTGTACATGCCTGGTGCCTGAGGAAGTCAGAAGAGGGCTTTCAATCCTTGAAACTGGAGATGAGATATGGATGGTTGTGAACCACCATGTGGGTACTGGGAATCAAACCTGGGTCCTCTGTTAGAGCAGCAAGTACTCTTAACACTGAGCCATCTCAGCCAGGCAGTGGTGGGGAGGCAGAGACAGGCAGATCTCTGTGAGCTCCAGTCCAATCTGGTCTACAAAGCTACACAGAAAAACCCAGTCTCAATAAATAAATAAATAAATAAATAAATAAATAAATAAATAAATACTGAACCATCTCTCCAGCCCAACCCACTTCCCACCCCTGTTTTTGTTTTTGTTTTTGGACAGGGTCTCACAGTGTAGCTCTGGCTGTCCTGAAACTTACTCTGTAGACCATTTTGGCCTTGAATTCAGAAATCTACCTGCCTCTTTCTCCCAAGCTCTGGGACTAAACGCATGTGCC